TTTCATGATAAATTTATGCACATTGCTCTAGGCTAGGTGATCCCACACTACGTCTTTACGCTTATTATACCAACACTCACTACACTTATAAGGGATTCAAGGTACCACCCTAATGCCCCCCTTGCACCACCGTCACTAATGGGCAGACAGTAATCTATGTGGATAAATGCATTTTGGCTTTTATGACTCCACCTATTTAAAAAAATAAAATAATAATAAAGCGTGACGTGACACACACTGGACACTGGGTTTTATACAGGTTAAATAGACAAATGAAACTGTACACCTAGAAAATTATTATAATATGTTAAATTTATAGATTACAGAAAACTGTAAAACTTGGAAATTATTATAATGTGCTAAATACATAAATTAAAGAAACTTGTAAAACTCGAAAATTACTCCAATGTTTTAAATATATAAATTAAGGAACCAGAAAGCTGTGAAACTTGTTAATGGTTACAATATTTTAAATACATAATTGAAACAAAGAAAACAATATATATCTTGAAAATTGTTACAATATGTAAAATATATAAATGAAAGAAAGCTGTACAACTTGGAATTCCTTATAATATGTCAAGTATGTAAATTAGAACCAAGATAAGATGTTTGTGCATTTTGGTAATTGCTACAACATGTTAATTATACACGTTAAAAGAAATTAATCTGTACATCTTAGGAATTATCACAGCTCATAACTTAATTTGCCAAGAATGATGTATCTTTATAACATATCAACCCTTTTGTTGTGTTATTAGTAGTGAGCAAGTCTGCTGCGGATAGTTTCTTTCCCGATTCAGTAGAACATTTTCCATTTCTCCAAAAGCACTCTGAATGAAAATACGATTATAAAATAATTTCAAGTTTATAAATGATATCTTAAAATGTTTCCATGAAATCTATGATAATTCAAGTGTGGTTAAACAATGAACTTAAGAAGACGTGGCTGATGAAAATCACCGTCTTTCTGATGCTTAATAATTGAACAGGAAACAAGTGTGGTTAAACAATGAACTTAAGAAGACGTGGCTGATGAAAGTCACCGTCTGTCTGATGCTCAATAATTAAACAGGAAACAAGTGTGGTTAAACAATGAACTTAAGAAGACGTGGCTGATGAAAGTCACCGTCTTTCTGATGCTCAATAATTGAACAGGAAACAAGTGTGGTTAAACAATGAACTTAAGAAGACGTGGCTGATGAAATTCACCGTCTTTCTGATGCACAATAATTGAACAGGAAAATAGAAAAAAAAAGATGTACGTATATAAAACTAAAGAGTCATTCTTCTCAAATTTTGAAATGAAAAATATTGAAATAAACCCACAGTGGCACATCGGTATGTCTGCGGACTTACAACGCTAGAATCCAGGTTTCGATACCCGTGATGGGCAGAGCACAGGTAGCCCTTTGTGTAGCTTTGTGCTTAACTACAAACAAACAAAATTGAAAGAAAGTGGAGAAACTACAGTTAGAACAAGTCTTGGAATTGTTGCAACTAAAATTATGAAAACATCTATGCTATCTCGGAAATTAATGAAACAACAGCTTCTCATGACAAAGACAGTTTAGAACTGAAAAAGAAGACAAAAAACACAAGACCTGGGTTATCCAACTAATGATCAAAAACTGACTCAAAGGTGTGACAGTTGTTTGTTGGTCGAAATGGGTCCAGTTGCGGACGTTCGATTTTCATAAGGACAGCAAAGAAAGAAATTCAGAATAAATTATCACACACGTCGACTTGACAATAGAAATAACAAGAATATGAATTCAATATTTGGTTAAATGCGATTCAGTGTTTTGATTTTGGCTGCAAGGTTTCCATCACAGCTAACTATTCACTATACAAATTTGTCAGCACTCTTAAGTTGAAGTGAGAAGCCAATATATCACCAGAATGCATTTCGTCATTGAAAAGATTTATAAACTGAACAACATAATAAACTCAACATTTGATACGAAAATTCCGCACCTGATTAAATAATAGACATAGCATTAGCAAGCTGCGCCTAGATGACATAATGTCTTCATAACAGTTCATGATACTCAAAACATTGTTTTTCGTGGAGGTCATGATCAGATATTCATATTTGGAAGTGGAAATTTCTTGAATATTCGGCCGTATTTATCCTGGCAAAGTCCCACTTGGGACAGTGGTAAGTTTACGGACTTACAACGCTAGATCCGGTGTTCGATTCCCATGGTGGACATAGCAGATAACCCAATGTGGCTTTGCCTAAAACAAATATACAATCCTGGTAAAAAAAAAAATACCCTTAGCAGAATTACCATGCAAGAAATACATAAGAACTATCTGAGACAGGATATCCAGATTGAGCTGGTTTAACTGTTGTCCAACGAGATTCAAGTTCATGAGCTGACTCCTGCTAGAAATACGAAGTGTCATAAGATCGTACTCGACTATAATATAGATATAGAGCCTCTCAGGACAAACGACAATGATCTTCGGTTTGTTGCAATTATTGAGACAACTGCAATTGAAGATGATGAGGTCAGTACTGTAGAGCACTTCTTGAGATCTTTTGAAGCCTACGATGCAACCTACTGTTGCACCGAGAAAGAGACAAAGCGTACAATTCTAGTTTGCTACTTCATCTCATCATTGTTTCCAAGCGAAAGGTACTGACCGTTTCGCTATAACAAAGTAAAATCGATGATGTTTAGGGACTCCGACTCAATCTGGGACAATTCTACAACGCTCCGATCTCCATTGTAGAAGCCAAAACCATCACAGGAGCTAGAAGAACAAAATCGTGACTGAAGGAAAAGCGATCGTTGCTAAGATACCAAGTTTAAAATATGTGATTAGTCTGAACATATGAGATCAACGTAGCCACAAAGCAGTAGCAATATAGTTGTGATGACGTGTCTCAAGCTACCCCGCAACAACAATACATATACATTCCTTAAGTAGTACATGAACAATGAAGGTTCTGAAAAAATATTGGTGGGCGCAAGGGATTTTGTAGAAGGAATGGAAATTGCTGGAAGGTTTCCTCAAAAATAGCAGATTTTCTTGCGAAATGAAAAGAGAGAGAAGAAGGCGGACTTTCTTTCGAAAAAAAAAAAAGAGAGAAGAAGGCAGATTTCATACAGAAATTGTGATAATCTTATCTTTGGTCAATAGCAAAACTTCCAGGCCAAGTTCTTTTACAAATTCACTCAGTAAGTGAGCAGTAAGTTTATGGACTTACAAAACTAAAACCGAGCAGAGGTAGACTACTGTGTACCTATGTGCTAAAACAAACAACTAATTAATCTTTAACAAATATGAATTTGATTTGTATTCCTCCTACACTTTTCGAAAACACTTGAAAACAAAATTTGAGGGAGAAGAAGTCTCATTGAAAAGTTACCTACGGAGACAGAATAATAGTATTGACCTGGATTTCAAAGTAAACAGTACACAGCTATATATATATATATATACACGACTTCCTAATAAGCCACCAATTCTATTCACAGTATTCCATGATAAATCATTAATTTGAATTGCAATAATTCCCTCATAAACAATCACTATAGTTCAAAGGCTTTCCTAATAATCACCAGTTTCATTCATAGTTTGTTTGTTTGTTGTTAAGCACAGAGCTATACAAACCACAGGTATTGAAACCAGGTTTTTAATATTATAAGCCTCCAGAGTTACCGCAGAGCCACTGGGAGCTTGATTTATAGCATTTCCTAATAAATCATCAATTTGATTCATAGTACTTCCTAATAAGCCATCACTGTGATTCAAAAGTATATTCTAATAAATAACAATAAGGTTCATAGTACTTCCTAATAAATCATCATTATGATTCAAATTACTTCCTTATATATAACAATAAGGTTCATTGTACTCCATAACAAACCATCACTGTGATTCAAAAGTATATTCTAATAAATAACAATAAGGTTTATAGTACTCCCTAATAAATCATCATTATGATTCAAATTACTTCCTTATATATAACAATAAGGTTCATTGTACTCCATAACAAACCATCACTGTGATTCAAAAGTATATTCTAATAAATAACAATAAGGTTTATAGTACTCCCTAATAAATCATCATTATGATTCAAGTTACTTCCTTATATATATAACAATAAGGTTCTCAGTGCTCCTTAATACACCATCCACGTGATTCAAGTTACTTTTTATAAATAGCAATAAAACTATATAAGGCTATGTGGTTACATCTTCAAGTTACTTCCTTATATATAACAATAGGGTTCTCAGTGCTCCTTAATACACCATCACCGTCATTCAAGTTACTTCCTTATGAATAACAATAAGGTTCATAGTACTCCATAACAAACTATCACTGTGATTCACGTTACTTCCTTATATATAACAATAAGGTTCTCAGTGCTCCTTAATACACCATCAACGTGATTCAAGTTACTTTTTATAAATAACAATATGGTTTGTAGTACTCCATAATACACCATCACCGTCATTCAAGTTACTTCCTTATGAATAACAATAAGGTTCATAGTACTCCATAACAAACTATCACTGTGATTCACGTTACTTGCTTATAAATAACAATAAGGTTTATAGTACTCCATAATATACCGTCACCGTGATTCAAGTTACTTTCTTATAAATAACAATAAGGTTTATAGTACTCCATAATACACCGTCACCGTGATTCAAGTTACTTTCTTATAAATAACAATAAGATTTATAGTACTCCATAATACAACATCACTGTGATTCAAGTTACTTCGTTATAAGTCACAAAGGTTCATAGTATTCTGTAATAATACCATCATGAGTTAAAGTAATATCATAATATGCTATCAATTGGATTCATAGTATTTTCTGATGAACCTTCACTATGATTCAAAGCATTTTTTATGATTCATGTTTTCCATAAAAATCACTAGTATGATTAATAATGTTCCTTGATATATCACCAAGCTGTATTTTTGTCGTGACAACAGTAACATGCATTGAAAAATACCAATGTGGTTACATCTTAAACGGACATTATATGTTTATTTATTACTTTGTACTTTTATGCACGATGTCTGTTAAGCAGAATTACTGTTTAATAGCTTAATGGCTAAATATGTTGTTGATTACATCCAACAGATGAATCAATTAATTATAATTATTTCAAGTTTCAGTTTTCTTGTATTTTGACTGTTTATGCACCTTCAGTTATATAGGGTTAGTTTTATTAATTAATAAGACAGTTTCAGTTTTGATCAGAGGTTATTGATAATCAATATTATATATTTCAAGTTTGAAAAAAATGGAATTCAGGACACCCTGGATGAATTACGAGATTTTGTTAAAAACGAAACAAAAGGTCAAGAAGGGGACATACTTACTGTTACAGACTTCTTGAATAAAGTGACCAACTTTTTCGAGAAAGAGTCGGCTAATTTGACCCAAGAGGAAAAGAAGGAAAAAGCCATAAACATCACTAACGTTGTAGTTGATACGTGTAGCGAAATTATTGATAAAGAAATGTCCTGGCAGGAAGTACCACAAGTAGGTATACTGACTATAGTCATTATAGGTTTAAAGAACGTGAAGTACATATTTAAAACATTATAAAAATACTAATCCCACTTTCTAGAGTTGGGCGAATTAAAGTATACTGTCTGTTTGACTCTTGGAAACTGTATTATTGTAAGGAATAAAGTAATATAAAGAACAAACATTTATTTATACTAACATTTTTCTGAACTTTTAAATGAAAATTAAAATATTCCGTAAAATTGGCTTTTTGTCCTGGTTAGCTTATAAATATAACAATATTCTACTGATTGTACGGTACGGAGAAAACTTTGTTATACATCAGTTGGCGTTTGGTTTCATATTCTTAATTTTTGTTATTAACAAGTAATCTTTGAGCAAACGACAGAAAATATGAATATTTTGGTAGGTAGTGGGGTATCCAATCAGATACGGAAATCCGGAGCTTTACTATGCTGTTTTCTTTGATCCAAGTAGTCGTTATGGTGTTTCTATCCTACCAAAGTGGACCACTCACACGCTATTGTCATGCTATTTCGCATTTACGTTAGTACTTCTTCTCTCTTCTCATCCTTCTAGCATTCTTGTATTTCACTCAGAAACAGTCTTCGTATTCTCCGTTCCTTACCTACTGTTGAATCGTTCTCCTCCTTCTGCTCTCATCCCCATTTGCGGGAAGGTCGTTGGATATACCAGAAGTTTACCGCTGTTATACACAGACGTACTTATCTTTGGGCACTTGATAGCTCCTCCTCCGCCGAAACTTCTTTGATCTCTCTTACGGCTAACTTTTCGAGCAACTGAAGTGTGTGGATGCGATCACGATGGATTCCCGGCCCCATATAAAAATTCTTTTAAACTATCAGTCATAAAGAGAGAGAAAGAAAGCTGGTCTCTATCAACCAATGTGTTTTATATTCACAACCATATAACTTTTACACTACAGCATCCATGTATTTATTGTGTTCTGATATACACAGAAACAAATGTTACATTATTTATAAGTTCAGCCAAACCAGTCACTACCTAAGTTATCCTTCTTAACAGTTATGTTTGTCCTGTTTAATGTTGAGGCCGATAAGAACCCTCCGTTGTCTACAGCTTGGAACAGGTTGGAGACGATTTCTGACCGACGTATCTGTCGGAAAAGTAAGACATATTCAAATGTTGAAGGTACAGCTCCAGAATGTTAATGAAACAACAACATAGATTTATTTTACAGTATCACTTCAATATTATAGTAAATGTAGCCTTTGTCGTTTTATTTACGTCTCTTCATTGTTACGTTTTATAGTAACAAGTAATCTCTGACTCAAAGGCAGCAGAAATGGTAAGGCACTTTGTAAAAACCGAATCCAGTATTTAGTCTTTTTTTTCTGAAAATCTACACGAATATTCATTATTGTATTAGGAACCCAAAGGTGTCCGACGATCTATAATTGGATAACATCTAAAGAAGTTATGACTGATTTTTGTCCTTAGAATTGAGTGAATTTTTTACCCTAATTCAGACAGTTGATATGGCAATGATGTATTAAATGATCTATGGAACACTAACTTTTTTCACACTTTTTGTGGTGAAACTTGTAAGGCACTGCTGAGACAACGAGTCAGAATCTCTGAGTGTTTATTCTTGACGAGATGGAAACGAGGTTGGATTCAAACTAAGCTGAAAATGTAAAGTAGCAAAATGTCCGAAATATTAGCGGGCCTAAATTACTGCCTCAACTGAAACTTAACAGAATTTAAAGTCTATAGTAAGGACACTTTGAAGCAAATTACCTTTATTTTTCTCAAGTGTTCAAAAATTCAGTTTTTTACATAGGTCACATATATATTTGAATATCCCATTCTTCAGTTTTCGTTACATGTATATTCTAGCATTTTAAAAAAATCTCAAAAATGATTGCCGTGATATTATCCACTTTTCAATATTTTATACGAAGTTCATGCAAGTACACGTTATTGTATTTCCAGTAGGTTTTTTTTGCACCAATATATCAAAATAACTTGAGTGACTTACACGCTAGTAACGAGAACAGGCATTAAGAATTTTCTAATACACCATTACATTAATGTGATAAAAGTTACAACTCTATTTTTATAGAAGGATATAAAACAGCTTACTCAGACTGAAGACTCAAAACAAACGATCCTTTCCAGTTGTTTTTATTAGTTGAATCATCCCTTAGTTGATTGTATGATTTATACATTTTTGAGCAACTGACTGAGAAGTGTATGTTTTGTTCTCCACGTGATTGAGTCAAAAGTTGCGTTTTATTAACAGGAATATCTAACAATAGTTTAGAAACCCACCCTGCTATTAGCTGTAAACTACAATACTGAGCAATACCAACTTTCATTAGCTCAAACTCTGAAATATAGTACTGAACAATACCGGCTCTCATTAGCCCAAGATGTGAACTACAGTACTGAGCAATACCAACTTTCATTAGCCCAAACTCTGAAATATAGTACTGAACAATACCGGCTCTCATTAACCCAAGCTGTGAACTATAGTACTGAGCATATACCAACTCTCATTAGCCCAAGATGTGAACTACAGTACTTAGCAATACCAACTCTCATTAGCTCAAGCTATGCACTATAGAATTGAGCAACACCAGCTCTCATTAGCCCAAGATGTGAACTACAGTACTTAGCAATACCAACTTTCATTAGCCCAAACTCTGAAATATAGTACTGAACAATACCGGCTCTCATTAGCCCAAGATGTGAACTACAGTACTTAGCAATACCAACTCTCATTAGCTCAAGCTATGCACTATAGAATTGAGCAACACCAGCTCTCATTAGCCCAAGATGTGAACTAAAGTACAGAGCAACACCAGCTCTCATTAGCCCAAGATGTGATATATACTACTGAGGAACACCTACTCTCATTAGTCTAAGATGTGATATATACTACTGAGGAACACCAACTCTCATTAGTTGGTGATACACAGATTCTTACCCAATCGATCTAGTTTGAAACTATGGTTCTCAGATGCTCGTTATATCAGCTTGCTGTCGAATGTTTGTTTATATATATTTAAATTAAAACTTACATCACGGAGAAGTGAAGATAACATGCCAGTTTTAGCTGGATTGATGAATATTCTCATGTTACTTTTTAGAACGATATGATATAAAGATGTCCAAATAACTAATAACAAAGTGTTTCGTTGGATTGAATTTCTGGTAAAGAACCGTGATTATATCTTTATTTTAAATCGTCTTGTTCTCGTCTTCTAAGAAGCATCTTAAAATTATTCTTGTATTTTTGTGATCCAGTGTTAGAAGTCGCCAAGATTCTACGAGAAGACTATGTTAACAAAACACTCCGATTACCTCTGAATGATCTAATGTCCGCAACTTTCTCCCATTCCGCTTCTGTTGTTCTTCCTCAAGGGTTTGTAAATACACTTGAGGAGGGAGAAGAAATTCCTCTGGTGTATACACAGTACAGCGGAGTTGACAAGGTGTTTGGAGAAACTTGTTCTGAAAGGTATCGAATAACATTTTTGATTGTTATGATAAACAATATTTTTATTTAAACAAAACACCTATAGAAGTGAAACAAGACAGGTTAAATCATTTTGAACTTTGTTTATTCTGTGACTTGTAAGTTTTTGTTTGGTTGCTGGGTGACTTTGAATTCAGTTAGAATAATTCACTAATACTGAGATGTAGCCATAAATGTAAGTGACACACATTAAACATTATACATAGTTTTATGAGTGTTTCGTATTAGAATTTCGAATAGCAGAAGCAGAGTTAACTGATAATTTAAATTTAGTAGTTAAATTGTACTTTGGATT